CTCTCTCTCCTCAGTGATTGCCCTCTCTCTCCCTCAGTGATGCCCTCTCTCTCCTCAGTGATGTCCTCTCTCTCCTCAGTGATGTCCTCCACTCTCCTCAGTGATGTCCTCACTCTCCTCAGTGATGTCCTCACTCTCCTCAGTGATGTCATCTCTCTCTCAGTGATGTCCTCTCTCTCTCCTCAGTGATGTCCTCTCTCTCCTCAGTGATGTCCCTCTCTCTCCTCAGTGATGTCCTCACTCTCCTCAGTGATGTCATCTCTCTCCTCAGTGATGTCCTCTCTCTCCTCAGTGATGTCCTCTCTCTCCTCAGTGATGCCATCTCTCTCCTCAGTGATGTCCTCTCTCTCTCCTCAGTGATGTCCTCTCTCTCTCCTCAGTGATGTCCTCTCTCTCCTCAGTGATGTCATCTCTCTCCTCAGTGATGTCACTCGAACGTTACAGAACATATCTGGATATAGGAATCCCCTCCCATGATGTCCTCCATGTATTATTCAGGGTCTCCTCTGTGCTCCGTGAGGTCGTCCTTCCAATCTACATAGAAGTTGGGAGGTTTAGCTCTCCATCTCTCTGCGCTGACAGTGAGGGACGGAAGGCGGCATACACTGGTAAATGACACTGATCACTGGCAGTGGTTGGGGGTATGTGCTCGGGTCCATGTGACCAGCAATCAGGATTTCACACACAGAGCAGGGGATGGCGAAGACTTGAGGCTCATGGACCTATGCCAGTGCAGACTCGTGTATGTTCTCAGGAGTGCGTGTATATTATATGGGCAGCACAGTGGCTAAATGGTTAGCACTCCCCACCTGGCAGTACTCGGGTCATTGGTTCAAATCCCAACCATGGCACCACCTGCCTGGAGAAGCATGTTCTCCCTGTGCCTGCGTGGGTTTCCCGGGTACTCTGGTTTCCTCCCACACTCCAAAAACATGCTGGGAGGTTAATTGACTCCTGTCTAAATTGGCCCTTGTATGTGTATGTATGAATGTGAGTTAGGGACCTTAGATTGTACGCTCCTTCAGGATTAGGGACTGATGTGAATGTGCAACATATATGTAAAGCTCTATGTAAATTGATGGCGCTATATAAGTACCTGAAATAAATATATAGAGCGGATCTTTATCCTGGGGAATTCTGTCCTCCTCCATCCCTATCCCTGTCCTCTCTGGGGATGGGAGCAGTTACAGTTCTCCTCACTAGATGGCGCTCCTGGCTCAGGCAGAGCTGTGGAGGCAGATTGATGGTTCATTGTCAGGCTGTCCAGATGAGGCGACCCAATATATGGAGAGGCCTGAGAAGGCGACCCAATATATGGAGAGACCTGAGAAGGCGACCCAATGTATGGAGAGGCCTGAGAAGGCGACCCAATGTATGGAGAGACCTGAGAAGGCGACCCAATGTATGGAGAGACCTGAGAAGGGGAGAGAGCCTGTATAGAAGGCGACCCAATGTATGGAGAGACCTGAGAAGGCGACCCAATGTATGGCGAGACCTGAGAAGGCGACCCAATGTATGGAGAGGCCTGAGAAGGGGTATGGAGAGACCTGAGAAGGCGACCCAATGTATGGAGAGACCTGAGAAGGCGACCCAATGTATGGAGAGGCCTGAGAAGGCGACCCAATGTATGGAGAGGCCTGAGAAGGCGACCCAATGTATGGCGAGACCTGAGAAGGCGACCCAATGTATGGAGAGACCTGAGAAGGGAGAGGCCTGAGAAGGCGACCCAATGTATGGAGAGACCTGAGAAGGCGACCCAATGTATGGAGAGGCCTGAGAAGGCGACCCAATGTATGGCGAGGCCTGAGAAGGCGACCCAATGTATGGCGAGGCCTGAGAAGGCGACCCAATGTATGGAGAGGCCTGAGAAGGCGACCCAATGTATGGAGAGGCCTGAGAAGGCGACCCAATGTATGGAGAGGCCTGAGAAGGCGACCCAATGTATGGAGAGGCCCGAGAAGGCGACCCAATGTATGGAGAGACCCGAGAAGGCGACCCAATGTATGGAGAGACCCGAGAAGGCGACCCAATGTATGGAGAGACCTGAGAAGGCGACCCAATGTATGGAGAGACCCGAGAAGGCGACCCAATGTATGGAGAGGCCTGAGAAGGGGAGAGGCCTGAGAAGGCGACCCAATGTATGGAGAGACCCGAGAAGGCGACCCAATGTATGGAGAGACCCGAGAAGGCGACCCAATGTATGGAGAGGACCTGAGAAGGCGACCCAATGTAGAGAGACCCTGAGAAGGCGACCCAATGTATGGAGAGACCCGAGAAGGCGACCCAATGTATGGAGAGGCCTGAGAAGGCGACCCAATGTATGGAGAGGCCCGAGAAGGCGACCCAATGTATGGCGAGACCCGAGAAGGCGACCCAATGTATGGAGAGGCCTGAAGGCGACCCAGGGAGAGGCCTGAGAAGGCGACCCAATGTATGGAGAGACCTTAGAAGGCGACCCAATGTATGGAGAGGCCTGAGAAGGCGACCCAATGTATGGAGAGGCCTGAGAAGGCGACCCAATGTATGGAGAGGCCCGAGAAGGCGACCCAATGTATGGAGAGGCCCGAGAAGGCGACCCAATGTATGGCGAGGCCCGAGAAGGCGACCCAATGTATGGCGAGGCCCGAGAAGGCGACCCAATGTATGGAGAGACCTGAGAGGGAGACTAGACATCCTCCTAGGGTGGCCACCTCATCCCTTTAAACTCGGACACATATTTATTACACGGGTTCTGGGACTGATTAAGGTGGTGATTAAACTCACTTATTGCCTCACCTGCATTAAATTCACCTCAGAACCCGTACCTGCCCCCCCAAATGGAACTCGCTATAACCTGAACATGACCTTCAAGGGTTGTCCCCCAGAAATACCCAAAACCCATTATTACCCCCACTGAGCTGTCACATCACTGACTGCTGTGCTTACATGGAGAGACTGCACTGGGCTTACAGGGAGAGACTGCGCTGGGCTTACATGGAGAGACTGCACTGGGCTTACACGGAGAGACTGTGCTGGGCTTACACGGAGAGACTGTGCTGGGCTTACACGGAGAGACTGTGCTGGGCTTACACGGAGAGACTGTGCTGGGGCTACACGGAGAGACTGTGCTGGGCTTACATGGAGAGACTGCTGGGCTTACATGGAGAGACTGCTGGGCTTACATGGAGAGACTGCGCTGGGCTTACACGGAGAGACTGCGCTGGGCTTACACGGAGAGACTGTGCTGGGCTTACACGGAGAGACTGTGCTGGGCTTACACGGAGAGACTGTGCTGGGGCTACACGGAGAGACTGTGCTGGGGCTACACGGAGAGACTGTGCTGTGCTTACACGGAGAGACTGCGCTGGGCTTACATGGAGAGACTGCTGGGCTTACATGGAGAGACTGTGCTGGGCTTACATGGAGAGACTGTGCTGGGCTTACATGAGAGACTGTGCTGGGCTTACACGGAGAGACTGTGCTGGGCTTACACGGAGAGACTGTGCTGGGCTTACACGGAGAGACTGTGCTGGGGCTACACGGAGAGACTGTGCTGGGCTTACATGGAGAGACTGCTGGGCTTACATGGAGAGACTGCTGGGCTTACATGGAGAGACTGTGCTGGGCTTACATGGAGAGACTGTGCTGGGCTTACACGGAGAGACTGTGCTGGGCTTACACGGAGAGACTGTGCTGGGCTTACACGGAGAGACTGTGCTGGGGCTACACGGAGAGACTGTGCTGGGGCTACACGGAGAGACTGTGCTGGGGCTACACGGAGAGACTGTGCTGGGCTACACGGAGAGACTGCGCTGGGCTTACACGGAGAGACTGCGCTGGGCTTACACGGAGAGACTGCGCTGGGCTTACACGGAGAGACTGCGCTGGGGCTACACGGAGAGACTGCACTGGGCTTACACGGAGAGACTGCGCTGGGCTTACACGGAGAGACTGCGCTGGGCTTACACGGAGAGACTGCGCTGGGCTTACACGGAGAGACTGCGCTGGGCTTACACGGAGAGACTGCGCTGGGCTTACACGGAGAGACTGCGCTGGGCTTACATGGAGAGACTGCGCTGGGCTTACATGGAGAGACTGCGCTGGGCTTACATGGAGAGACTAACCGGTTATGGAAATGAACTGCCAGGTTATTGTTCTGTATGGACCTCTGACATGTTTCCTATCACGCTGATGTCATGGTTTGGGTCGGGTTCCTCTTCTGGTCGTATTGTCAGCTGCTGGTTCTTTCTGACTGTATTCTATATAATAGTGCTGGAACCCGTGGATGGCTTTGCAGGCTGATTGGTTGGTTGTCTGGCAGGTTGGTTGTCTGGTTGGCTTGCTGGCTGGTTAGTTGGTTTATTAGCTGGGTGGTTGGTTGTTGCTTGGCAGGTTGGGTGGTTGTTAGGTTAGTGTTAGGTTGGTTGGTTGGTTGCTGGTTAGCTCCCTGCCTGGTTGGTTTGTTGGTTGATAAGTTGGCTTGCTGGTTGGTTGGTTGGTTGGTTGGGTGGTTGTCAGGTTGATTGGCTGACCAGTTGGTTGCCTGGTTGGGTGTTTGTCAGGTGGCAGGTTGGCTGGCTGGCTGGTTGATTGGTTAGTTGGCTGGTTGGTTGGTCCCAATGACATCATGAGAGGAGATCTTCTGGAGACCTGTGATTGGAAGGGGAATGAGTCGGTAGGCTCAGCTGAGGTTCGGTAATAGTTGTAACTATATTTCCTCGGCTTTCCTGGGATCTGTAATCCTCGGCACTTACGTGGTGTCACTGTATGATCCGGGCATTGTGTAATCTGTACATGGTCCATGCTGGGTGCCATCGCTGACTTGTGACATTGAGTCTTCCTAGCGCCATCCTCCCGGGTGCTTTATGGTCCATCTGATTGCAGATTGGTACAGCCTCTCTGTGGATAATTGATTTTATCTCAGCGGGAAGGCGGGTCACACCTCCTGACTACAGATAGGACCTAGAAGGAGAATATCCTTATCAAATATAGAACAGCAACCCTGTAAAAAGGTGAAAGTCACCTCCCCTTCAGCCTTGCACAGGTGTACCGGCTCCTCCCCTCCAGTCTTGCACAGGTGTACCGGCTCCTCCCCTCCAGTCTTGCACAGGTGTAGCGGCTCCTCCCCTTCAGCCTTGCACAGGTGTAGCGGCTCCTCCCCTCCAGTCTGGCACAGGTGTACCGGCTCCTCCCCTTCAGTCTTGCACAGGTGTACCGGCTCCTCCCCTTCAGTCTTGCACAGGTGTACCGGCTCCTCCCCTTCAGTCTTGCACAGGTGTATCGCTCCTCCCCTTCAGCTTTGCACAGGTGCAGCGGCTCCTCCCCTCCAGTCTGGCACAGGTGCACCGGCTCCTCCCCTCCAGTCTTGCACAGGTGTAGCAGCCCCTCCCCTTCAGTCTTGCACAGGTGTACCAGCCCCTCCCCTCCAGTCTTGCACAGGTGTAGCAGCTCCTCCACTGGACTTCCTCTGATGTCACTGCACACTTTGAGCTTCACACAGTGTGCATTAGAAGCTGCAGCTAGTCAGAGCTCCACCTCATTTCTTTGGAATGTTCTGGACACGGGGGGGGGGGGGGGGGGGACTTCTGGAAATGTTCTGGATATGGGGGGGGGGAACCCTGGAAATGTTCTGGATACGGGGGGGGGGGGGACTCCTGGAAATGTTCTGGATACGGGGGGGGGGGACTCCTGGAAATGTTCTGGATACGGGGGGGGGACTCCTGGAAATGTTCTGGATACGGGGGGGGGACTCCTGGAAATGTTCTGGATACGGGGGGGGGACTCCTGGAAATGTTCTGGATACGGGGGGGGACTCCTGGAAATGTTCTGGATACGGGGGGGGGGGACTCCTGGAAATGTTCTGGATACGGGGGGGGGGGGACTCCTGGAAATGTTCTGGACATGGGGGGGGGACTCCTTGGAATGTTCTGGACATGGGGGGGGCTTCTGGAAATGTTCCAGAGATGGGGGGGGACTCCTTGGAATGTTCTGGACATGGGGGGGGGGGGCTCCTGGAAATGTTCTGGACATGGGGGGGGGGGGACTCCTTGGAATGTTCTGGACATGGGGGGGGGGGGGGGACTCCTTGGAAATGTTCTGGACATGGGGGGGGGGGGACTCCTTGGAAATGTTCTGGACATGGGGGGGGGGACTCCTTGGAAATGTTCTGGACATGGGGGGGGGGGGGGGCTCCTGGAAATGTTCTGGACATGGGGGGGGGGGGGGACTCCTGGGAATGTTCTGGACATGGATGGGGGACTCCTGGAATGTTCTGGATACGGGGGGGGGGGGGGGACTCCTGGAAATGTTCTGGATACGGGGGGGGGACTCCTGGAAATGCTCTGGACATGGGGGGGGACGACTCCTTGGAATGTTCTGGACATGGGGGGGGGCTTCTGGAAATGTTCCGGAGATGGGGGGGGACTCCTTGGAATGTTCTGGACATGGGGGGGGGTGGGACTTCTGGAAATGTTCCGGAGATGGGGGGGGACTCCTTGGAATGTTCTGGACATGGGGGGGGGGGGGGGCTCCTTGGAGATGTTCTGGACATGGGGGGGGGGGGGACTCCTTGGAAATGTTCTGGACATGGGGGGGGGGGGACTCCTTGGAAATGTTCTGGACATGGGGGGGGGGGGGGGGGGGCCTGGAAATGTTCTGGACATGGGGGGGGGACTCCTGGGAATGTTCTGGACATGGATGGGGGACTCCTGGGAATGTTCTGGATACGGGGGGGACTCCTGGAAATGTTCTGGACAGGGGGGGGGGGACTCCTTGGAATGCTCTGGATACGAAGGGGGCTCCTGGAAATGTTCTGGACATGGATGGGGGACTCCTGGGAATGTTCTGGATACGGGGGGGGGGGCTCCTGGAAATGTTCTGGACGGGGGGGGGGGGACTCCTTGGAATGTTCTGGATACGGGGGGGGGGACTCCTTGGAGATGTTCTGGACATGGGGGGGGGGGACTCCTTGGAAATGTTCTGGACATGGGGGGGGGGGGGGGACTCCTTGGAAATGTTCTGGACATGGGGGGGGGGGGGGACTCCTGGAAATGTTCTGGACATGGGGGGGGGGGGGGGACTCCTGGGAATGTTCTGGACATGAATGGGGGACTCCTGGGAATGTTCTGGATACGGGGGGCTCCTGGAAATGTTCTGGGCAGGGGGGGGGGACTCCTTGGAATGTTCTGGATACGGGGGGTGCTCCTGGAAATGTTCTGGACATGGGGGGGGGGGGACTCCTGGGAATGTTCTGGACATGGATGGGGGACTCCTGGGAATGTTCTGGATACGGGGGGGGGGGGGGGGGCTCCTGGAAATGTTCTGGACAGGGGGGGACTCCTTGGAATGTTCTGGATACGGGGGGGGGGGGGGGGACTCCTTGGAAATGTTCTGGACATGGAGGGGGGACTCCTGGGAAAGTTCTGGACATGGGGGGGCTCCTGAAGATGTTCTGCATACAGGGGGGGTCTCCTTGGAATGTTCTGGACATGGGGGGGTCTCCTTGGAATGTTCTGGACATGGGGGGGTCTCCTTGGAATGTTCTGGATACGGGGGGGGGGGGGGGCTCCTGGAAATGTTCTGGACATGGGGGGACTCCTAGGAAAGTTCTGGACATGGGGGGGCTCCTGAAGATGTTCTGCATACAGGGGGGGGTCTCCTTGGAATGTTCTGGACATGGGGGGGCTCCTGAAGATGTTCTGCATACAGGGGGGGACTCCTTGGAATGTTCTGCATACAGGGGGGGACTCCTTGGAATGTTCTGGACATGGGGGGTCTCCTTGGAAAGTTCTGGACATGGGGGGGTCTCCTTGGAATGTTCTGGACATGGGGGGGTCTCCTTGGAAAGTTCTGGACATGGGGGGTCTCCTTGGAATGTTCTGCATACAGGGGGGGTCTCCTTGGAATGTTCTGGACATGGGGGGGACTCCTTGGAATGTTCTGCATACAGGGGGGGACTCCTTGGAATGTTCTGGACATGGGGGGTCTCCTTGGAATGTTCTGCATACAGGGGGGGACTCCTTGGAATGTTCTGGACATGGGGGGGTCTCCTTGGAATGTTCTGGACATGGGGGGGGTCTCCTTGGAATGTTCTGGACATGGGGGGGGGGGACTCCTGGGAATGTTCTGGACATGGGGGGGGTCTCCTTGGAATGTTCTGGACATGGGGGGGGTCTCCTTGGAATGTTCTGCATACGGGGGATGACGTCTTGGAATCAGTATATATAGTATACAGCAGGCTTCCTGATGGGGGTGGGGTGGCTGGCGGCTCCCTCCCGGTTGCCGGGCCCGGCACACAGCTTGTCCAGGCGTTGGCACTGCTTGCTTTGCATGTGATCTTTTATTTGCATTAGATATGAGGATCCGGGAAGAAGTTGGTACACAGAGTGGCTGCAGCCTGGGTGTGAAGCTGAGGATTGAAGAGGCGCCTTCTACAGGACAATAAAGAGAACCTGTCCAGACACAATGAGGGAAGCTGCCATTACTGGGCAGGCCCGGGGGCCCTCCTCCTCATCCAGGGGGTCACTGCTCAGAGACGCAGCATGCAGCCAGTGAAGTCTGGGGGGAGTGGCCCTGGACTCGGCGCTGTAGCGTCAGGATCAGCATCACACCCTGCGATAGGCGGGAGGCAGAAGGGGGGGGGGGGGTGTTCTGTAGTCACACGGGGTGGAATCTGATCTCAGGTAGCCCCTCCCCCAGTAGTTACAATGTATCAGTGCAAACAGGATGAGGATATCCTGCAGAGGTGCCCCGCCCCCTCCCCAGGTGTGACACCCATTAACCCCTCACACCCCACAGGGACTCCACCCGGAATGTAGAGGACACAGAGGAGCTCCGCCCTTCTCAGGATCCGACTAAAGGAGTCCTCCGCTCAGAGGAAGGCGGGAGCCCCCATGGCAGCCACTCTGAATGCGATCCATGCGGGACGTGCGTTGTCTTCCTTCAGTCATTGCCGACATTTGCAGCTCTGGAGGTTCCACTCACTCCCTCCCGTTGCATTAAATGCGTTGGTGCCATGCGGCGCTGTTCTTCCTCCCCACACCCGCCGATCGTTGTGCCATGCAGCACTGTTCTTCCTCCCCACACCCGCGATCGTTGTGCCATGCGGCGCTGTTCTTCCTCCCCACACCCGCCGATCGTTGTGCATTGCAGCGCTGTTCTTCCTCCCCACACCCGCCGATCGTTGTGCCATGCAGCGCTGTTCTTCCTCCCCACACCCGCCGATCGTTGTGCGTTGCAGCGCTGTTCTTCCTCCCCACACCCGCCGATCGTTGTGCGTTGCAGCGCTGTTCTTCCTCCCCACACCCGCGATCGTTGTGCGTTGCAGCGCTGTTCTTCCTCCCCACACCCGCCGATCGTTGTGCGTTGCAGCACTGCTCTTCCTCCCCACACCCGCCGATCGTTGTGCCATGCAGCGCTGTTCTTCCTCCCCACACCCGCCGATCGTTGTGCGTTGCAGCGCTGTTCTTCCTCCCCACACCCGCCGATCGTTGTGCGTTGCAGCACTGCTCTTCCTCCCCACACCCGCCGATCGTTGTGCCATGCAGCGCTGTTCTTCCTCCCCACACCCGCCGATCGTTGTGCGTTGCAGCGCTGTTCTTCCTCCCCACACCCGCCGATCGTTGTGCGTTGCAGCGCTGTTCTTCCTCCCCACACCCGCCAATCGTTGTGCGTTGCAGCGCTGTTCTTCCTCCCCACACCCGCCGATCGTTGTGCGTTGCAGCGCTGTTCTTCCTCCCCACACCCGCCAATCGTTGTGCGTTGCAGCGCTGCTCTTCCTCCCCACACCCGCCGATCGTTGTGCGTTGCAGCGCTGTTCTTCCTCACCACACCCGCCGATCGTTGTGCGTTGCAGCGCTGTTCTTCCTCACCACACCCCCGCCGATCGTTGTGCGTTGCAGCGCTGTTCTTCCTCACCACACCCGCCGATCGTTGTGCGTTGCAGCGCTGTTCTTCCTCCCCACACCCGCCGATCGTTGTATGTTGCAGCGCTGTTCTTCCTCCCCACACCCGCCGATCGTTGTATGTTGCAGCGCTGTTCTTCCTCCCCACACCCGCCGATCGTTGTGCATTGCAGCGCTGTTCTTCCTCCCCACACCCGCCGATCGTTCGATGCCATGCAGCGCTGTTCTTCCTCCCCACACCCGCCGATCGTTGTGCGTTGCAGCGCTGTTCTTCCTCCCCACACCCGCCGATCGTTGTGCGTTGCAGCGCTGTTCTTCCTCACTTCACCCGCCGATCGTTGTGCGTTGCAGCGCTGTTCTTCCTCACTTCACCCGCCGATCGTTGTGTGTTGCAGCGCTGTTCTTCCTCCCCACACCCGCCGATCGTTATGCCATGCAGCGCTGTTCTTCCTCCCCACACCCGCCGATCGTTTGTGCGTTGCAGCGCTGTTCTTCCTCCCCTCACCCGCCGATCGTTGTGCGTTGCAGCGCTGTTCTTCCTCACTTCACCCGCCGATCGTTGTGCGTTGCAGCGCTGTTCTTCCTCACTTCACCCGCCGATCGTTGTGTG